ATATAGAATATTCACCATCAGAGGAGAATAAAAATAACGACAACAAGTTAGATCCCCTGGTGAGGTGTGGGGGAGCTTCTGCGCTCCCCTGTGCCCGCTGGACCTCTCCAGACCCAGCCCAGGCCTGGCGTGTGAGTGAGATGGGACCCCTGGTGAATGTTAAAATTAGAGAGCACAGCTGTACAGTGACAAGGGCAACTATATTCTCAACACAGCTTCCCCTAGTGAATTTGTTAGCTACTGTGATACTTCAATAAATGTCAAGAATATCATTGGAAAAATCATCCTAAATTTAACATCAACAGTAATGAAATATACTGATACAATTGCCCTCAATATCATATGATTTATGAACACATCAGTGCTATTGCATTATTTCCCAAAATGTATTTATCTTCAGGCCTATCAGGAGAAAACAACATTAAAATTCAATTTGATAAAATTTTAACAATAACATGGCTGGCACATACGTACTAAAAGTCAGGAAAGGCAGTAGGTGTTATACAGTGGAGCTGAATACAGAGTGTGACAACATGTAATATGGGATCCTGGATTCCCATATAAAAAGGACATCAGTGAAAAATCTGAGGGCATCTGAGGAAGTGAGAAGTTTAGTCACTAGGTGGCGCCAATGTTAACGTGTTAGGGAGGCTAGATTTTCCTCCTTACCTTTCGTAATTAGATAGGACCACAGAGAGGAAGAGTCCGCAGTGGCCTTCTACATGCTGATGAGCCGGAGGATCTACAGCTGCTCAGTGTAAGAAGCTGGAGACTGCAAACAAGAGGGACCAAGATGCAGCCCAAGTCGGAGACTCAAGGCCTTAAGAGTTACTGCCCGCGTCCGTGTGGAAGGGCTGAAGGAAATGGAGTCTGATGTCCACAGCCAATGGCAGTAGTGAAAGAGGTCTCTGGCACAAGGTCAACGGGTTTTTCCAATGTGGGCAAACTTCTTCTTTCTCTTTTATTTCATCCAAGCTACAAATCTACTGGGTGGTGCCACCCATCACCAGCATGAGTCTTCCCTCTTCAATTTGCTGGCCAAAATGCCAGTCATCTTTGGAAACACCCACTGCACACGCAAGTTTGCTTTACTCATTGGAAACTTGGTGTTTCTTAACACAGTCATATTGACATAAATAACAGTCACATATTCAAGTGAAACAACCATCAGAAAAGATTCAGCATAGAAGCAGAAAGGAACACTCAGCCACCTATCAGGTCAGGTATCAAAGAAACTTGCAGAAACATAAACAAAACACCTATGTTCTCCTAAAACATTTTCTGGAAAGTAGTCAGAAAAAGTGCATAAGAGAAAACCATCTAGGAGATTTAAGTGAAGTTTGAAAGTCAGTTAATATTTGTATTGATACTAGTTTCTTACTGTTGGTTGTTACATTACGGCAATGTAAGTTGTTAATATTAGGAGAAGCTGGGGAGAGAGGATAGAGGACATTTGCTATTCTGTAAGTCTAAAATTGCTTCAAAATAAAGTTAACAATGATTAGGCTTCTTAACATTACCTATTAAAAAATTGATCCCTGCCAGTTTCCTTAGTTGTTTTCCATTTGCTGAGCGATTCATTCTGCTTGTTGTCTAAAAGCCTCAGACTGTGTTCCCTGTGCTTGGAGTGTAGGCCTCATCTCTTGTATATTGTGACAGTCTTGACATTTATCTCAATAGTTCTACATGAAGTCTTTCTTCCTTACTCTTTTAACAAGTGTCACTATATTTTTAAAATCAGTTTTTCAATGTAAGTCAGTTTTTCAATGTAAATTCTGCTAATCCGGAAGTAAACTCTGCCAGTCTAAAAGATAAAGTCTACAAACTAACTGACAGTTTGGGTGACTAAGAAGATGAAGTCACCTCACGACTTTATCCCTGGTAAGCTCTTCTATGAGCATTTTGACCTCTGAGCCTTAGCTCCTCGGTTTACTTCCAATTAGCTCATATCTGTACCTGACCACAACTGAGCCTTAGCCTTCTGCTAAGTAGGCAGAAATTAAAACCTGAAGGATATTGGTATAAATTGATAGGACCATGTAGGATTGCAAAATGCTGTGTATGAATATAAAACTGGGGTGCAAAACATGTTTAAAGAAATGTTCAAGATTGTGAAAGTACATTTTCAAGAAGACAAAATTTGGACATAGCACATACACTTCACTGAAAATAAAGTCAATCATAATGTAGCGTGCTAATATGAATAAGTGAGACATCTCAGCAAGGAAATGAAATATAAGTTAAAGAGAAAGATTGCCTTTCCTACACTTTTTTTTTTTTTTTTTTTCCGGAACCGGGGATTGAACTCAGGCCCTTGTGCTTGACAGGCAAGTGCTTATTCTACTGAGTCATCTCCCTGGCCCCAAGATTTCCTTTCCATAGGCAGAACTGTGTTGAAAACATGGATTCATTTAGAAAATAACTCTGGTTCTGATCGATGGCCAGAGATATCCACCATGAAGTTTACAAAGCTGAAAACAACTCCACCCAGGGAATGATGACTTTTCTCTGAACCTCTTACCTTGCTGCCTTAAGCACCTCCCTTCAGCATTCTTGCCTTTCCTGTGCCCTACCCTTTCTTTGTCTCCACCTTGGCTTAGCTGAATGCAGCAGTTATAGTTCCTTCATTTTTTTTCTTCCATTGTGTATTAGTTTTATATTTTAATACATTTACACATGCTTTTTTTTTTTTTTTTTTTTTTTTGTCCCTAGTAACAAAAAAGTAAAAAAGTAACACTTTTTCTGTCTTTGAAAATGGAAGTGAAGGCTCAGTGGTCTAAGCGCCTGCCTGGCAAGGACAAGGACCTGGGTTTGATCCCCGGTACCACATGCTGTGCCACCTGGGGGCACACCATGCCTGCATAGTGAGACTGTGTACCAAATACATAAATAAATAAAAGATTTAAACAAATTCTTTAAAAAATGGGAATGAAAAAGAAAAATATCTAGTATCTTACATATCATACAGAACAAGTAAGTAACTATTTGGTTTATTATAATTACATCCCATTACTGACATTCAGAAAAGATTGATTCTTTTGTTTCTTAAGAATCAATTAGAGGGCCAGCAAGATAGCTTAGCCGCCTAAAGCGCCTGCTTGGGCAAGCTCAGGCAAGTGCCCAGGGACAGTGGTTCAATCCCCGGCACCACATACCATGCCAGCCCTGCCCCCAGGGTTGACTGAGCTGGCCAAATAAATAAATGAAAAAAAAAAAAAGAATCAATTAGATTAGGGACCTTTGAATTTTCTCAGGGAAATTTGAACATAATAAAAATTTTGAAATATAATCAATAATATTTTCTCAATTATGTTTTCTGATTGTGTATGGTAGAGGTATTGAGATTGTGAAAATTAATTCTCAGAAGTTTGAATGAAACCTAAGTATTATAATAAATTGTGGTCCAAAGTTGAACCCTGCTTGATAAAGCCTTCTGTTTTTAAAAATGTAGTTAGTACAGGGTCTACAGGGTCTCACTACACAGGACTCATAGTGATCCTCCTATTTTCAGCCTCCCAAATGCTGGGATTACAGGCATGTGCCACCACATCCAGTCTCAGTTGCCATCTCAGAGCTCCCCAGGAGTGGAGCTGGTGCAGCATGCTGTAAATTGAACCCCAGTCCCTGCTCCTGCCTAAGCAGACACTTTAGTATGCTGAGCTATCTGGCTGGCCCGGTAAAACCTTCTTCTTTAGTATGTATTTATTCACTGGGGCTTCTACTTAACATAAGAGAAGTACTGACATTCAGCTGATGCAGACAGGCCCAGGGAGTGTAAGATCAGTATTACAAAGAGACAGCTGGGGCTGGAGGCCTTTGGTGGATTTACTAGATCCCAAAGTCGTTAGAGCTGGTCTCTGCGTATACGTGAGTTACCACTTTCTTCCCCATAAACATTGCTTATGCTTGACCATCAGTGCTTCTGAATGTACCATAATGTCAGCTTTGAGAATTAGACAGAAAAATTCATATTTTACTATTTAATTCTACTAAACTTATTCAGCACATCAGTCATAATGTGGTATTGAAGAGAAGAAAATTGAATGTCTGTGTATAGCAGCTAATGGAGTTGAAAGATGTTCTCATGAAGGCTGGCCTGATAGCTCAGCAGACTAAACTGCCTGCTTCAGCAGAGCGCAGCGGCCAGGGTTCGTTCTCTGGTGTGCCGTGCCAGCCCCGCCCCCGGCCTGTACTGAGATGGCGACTGAGACTGGGCGTGGTGGCGCTCGCCTCTAATCCCAGCGCTTGGGAGGCTGTAAAGAAGAGATTTACTATGAGTCCAATCTGTGTAGTGAAGCCCTGAACACCCTGTAGACCCTTCCCTAAACACAGAAAAATAAAAAAGATTTTCTCATAAAGCAAAATCAATATTAAAGTACACTAAAATAAATGTCATAAGAATGATTTAAATTTTCAATACTTTTGGGGACTGAAAAACTTCAAGCTTTTCATTGCGCTTCCATAATTATGTTTCATAGATTGCTGATTTGTATAGAAAGTTGATACAGCATTTTAAGCAACTTAATAACATCAAAGTCATTCAGTACATTGACTTACGAATTTACATTACATGTCATTAAATTTTGTGTTTAACTTTTAGTAAATATTTTTCTTTGGTCATTTTGAGTTAAATAAAAATTAACACCTCTAAATGTATAGAGATATGAATAGGATGCACAATGGATGTACAATAGTTCTTCACTATTAAAATTTAACATGAGTTATAATTAGGAAGAAATATCTAGAAATATTCCAGATGCCCGAAAGGGAGAAACAATAATGAAAGACTGATTGGGCAACACAACTCTCAATGCACCCAGAAAATGCATTTCAAAAAAGAAAAGCAGAAGTGCCAAGTAATAGCTGATACGTCCAGAAAGGAGAAAGTGCTGTGGCCCCTATTTAAGACCTATGAAAACATCAAGGTCTTCAGAGATCCTAGAGACCAAGGTTCAGGTTCACCAATCTCAAACAGGCCAGTAGCATCTGCAAGACATCTAATGGCCTTGCCCTTTGCTTTCCTGGTGGCCCTGGTGGTGCTCAGCTGCAGGTCAACCAGCTCTCTGAGCTGCGACCTGCCTCAGACCTACAACCTGAGGAATAGGAGAGCCTTAGTGCTCCTGGGACAAATGAGGAGAATCTCCACTTTCTCTTGCCTCAAGGACAGGAAGGACTTTGGCCTCCCCCAGCAGGCGTTTGATGGCAAGAAGCTCCAGAAAGCTCAGGCCCTCCACGTCCTCCACGAGGTGAACATCCAGACCTTCAGCCTCTTCGACACACAGTACTCATCCGCTGCCTGGGACAAGAGCCTGCTGGACGCCTTCCGCACCGGCCTCCGCGAGCAGCGAGAGGACCTGCGGGCCTGCCTGACCCAGGAGGAGGGGCTGGACGAGGCTGCCCTGCTGCATGAGGCCTCCAGGCTGGCTGTGAGGAGTTACTTCCACAGGATCGCTGTATACCTGAAGGAGAAGAGATACAGCCCGTGTGCGTGGGAGGTTGTCAGAGCCGAAATCAGGAGAGCCTTCTCTTCAGCAGCAGCAATGGGAAAAGATGTTTAAGGACTAAGGAATGAGACCGGGTCAGCATAGAAATGCTTCTCATAGACTCATACACTATGTCAAATTTCCAGAACTTCTGCCATTTCTAAGTCTTTCTTCTGGTCTTGTCAAGGCATGAATTCATTTTGAGAGATGTTTTCTGAAGTACCAGGCATCACTGTGTTCAACTCTGTGGGAACTATCCCTTACAGCTGAGTATGCAAATGTATCTATTTATTTATCTACTAAAGTATTTACTAATTTATTTGACTATAATATTTAAATTATTTTTGTGCACATGTCACAAACTTTGTTTTGTTTCAAGTCAAATCTGTTCTGTACATTGAGTCAATTTCTCGTTTTGCTTTTTTCATTAAATTTTTACTATAGAAAATTTCTTGTATTTGTTCTTCAAGAAGATGCTCCAAGCCTTATTGTGCAACCTTATAAAGCAGTGGAAGATGAAAAAAATCACTTAGCCATCACTGCCATACTGAAATTATAAGTAAAGTCTGACCATTGCATAGGTGGGGGATGTATAGCATGTGAGAGGCCCTGAGATCCATCCCCAGCACTGCCAACATACAAGAATACAGACAAATACATTCACTTTCTCTTACCAGCTTGTGTGTTGTCCTCAGACCATAGAGTTGAATATCTAAAATGCAATGCAAACAGGAAAGCTGTAGTTATACATTGTTAACCTCAATAATGTGAAATGATACAGTGAGAAGGAAATATTAATGAAATTCTTTATGAAGAAGCTATTTTTCATGGCTTTTCATTGCAGCAGTTTATACCTAAAAATGACTTCAAAATTGTCCTCTCATTCTGTCTGAATCAACTGTCTTTGCCAGCTGGATATCTGAGTTCCGAGGGCATGAGGAAGGGCCTTGCTGGAGGCTCGCCTGTGGCCACTGAAAGCCCAGCACAGCAGTGGGTCGTGCAGGAGAGTGCAGAGGGAGAAATGTCCACCCTGATATTGGGGTTTTAAAGACTGAATCTTTAAAAGTGAAAGGAGAAGAGCATTAGAAGGGTTAGGAGAGAGAACAGTGGTGAAAGTGTGTTTTAGAAAAATAAACTTATTTAGAAGACAAATCAGTGGATTCAGGAAGGATGCGGATTGAAATTTTCCACATCAGAATAACTGGTATCAGTAGCAAAATTAGTGAGAGCTGGTTTGGCAAAATTAATAATCAGAGATCACACTGGAATAGCTGAAAATAGGAGAGAAGAAAATAGTGACTTTGAAATAGGGAAGGAAATAGGATGAAATCTAGAAAATTACATGGTTGTTTTTCTGTGATTAGTTTCTTGCTTTTACAATATATTTGTTCTGGAGTGATTATAAGTAATTGATATATTGGTAAATAATATTAATGTATTTAACAAAATCACAACATATTTATTGACAATGATAATTTATTATTATTTTAAATAACACTACACTGAATATCTGTAATTCACTTAGCTTTTGTTAAATTGTTAGGCAAAAATAAGAAAACTAATTCCATCTTTTTATCAAAATACCCCACTACTACTGATGACATAATTATGTCTGGAATCACCGGCTTTTTAATTTATGAACTTACATCATTTCGACAGTGGTTTACTAAGAGTTTCCTAGTGCATTTCATTTTCTCATACAGCTAGCTATAATAAAACTATTTTATATTTCTCCCTGTAATGGTCCTGGTTGCATGAGTATTTCAATCTCACCTTGATCCAGAAATATCTAGATAATCATGGACATAAAGACTGACACACTTCCATCCTGAAATGAAAGTGAGAGAGTTGATCTGAGTCTTTTTTCATTACTGAAGGTCAAGGAAAAAAACCCAAACCCCCTGAAAATACAGCACATACCTACAAAATCCAGACAGCAAGACAGAGTTCTGTATACTTGTAAAGTAAAAAGAGATTTAAGAAAGAAGTCCAGAATACAGAACGTACAGTCATTTATAAATCAGAATAAAGTATTTTACATGGGAGTTCCATCTTGCATAGATGCATGCGCATGTCAAGCAATCTACTGAATCTCCAAGCCTTGACTTTCCCAAAACCAGAGTGGGTTGAAAATATTTGCTTCATTGTAAATAGCAAATCAACACAAGCATTTAAAAGCACTTAGCATAGTGTCCATGGAGCGTGGATATATATCTATATCTATATATCTATATATCTATATATCTATATATCTATATATCTATATGTAAGTCAGGCATT